CCAGACCAGGCCTTCTGCCAGAGAGGAGTTAAGAATGCCCACCCCTCCCGCTTGAACAGACCTCAGGTCTACATGTCTGCTGAGAAGCCATCCTAATCACCCTTAGTTAAGGCAGCCACACATCCCCTTTTTCGTCTTTCTCCTATATCATGTTTAAAAGTAGCAAAGCCAGAGCTGGAGAAAGGGCTCAGCAGTTAGGAGCCCTTGATGGAGACCCTGATTCAGTTCATAACAACTCATAGCCATCTGTAAATCCAGTTTTAAGGGATCGGTCAGTCTTCTGGCTTCCACAGGTACACACACACATCCACATGAAGATAAATCTTTTCATAAAAAGTAACAAAATAAAAGGTCTTCACAGTGCTTGTCACTGGTGGGTTTGTGCGTTTATGTTGTTTTATTTATTTGTTGTATGTTTCATCTCTGGATGTGATAGCAGGGACTTCATCGTGCATAAATTTTCTCCTAGAGCCTAAGAATTGTTTTGTTTTACAAAATATGTTTCTTGAATGAACGAGTGATATCCAGGAGTAAGGCAGGTTGGGGGGCGGTTTGATCTTGAGTCCATGTTGTAGGAGAACAGTGTGGTCTTTCCTTTCCAGTCCTTCCTCCTACTTAGCCAGCACTGAAGACCTCGTTCCCAGCATAAATGAACCCTTTCTATTGGAAGCTCTGTGACTTTTCTGGGGGATTAAAGTGAGCATCATCTAAAGGTCCCCTTGTTTACAGGGAATTGGGGAGCAAAAGCTATTCTTTGAGAATGCCTCTTGACATCCAAGGCCACGACAGCCTAGCTGGAGCCATCGATCCTGGTCTCTCTAATCAGGGCTTTGTTTACCCTCCACTTCTCCTTGGAGGGTCCTGGAGAAGCCTCTAAGTTTTCAGCAAGTGAGCAGACACAGGCATTCTAGAACCAGGGTGCTAGGCCTTCTCTGCTCAGTGGAGACCCCTCCTCTCTTCCTTATCTTGATCCATACAGCACAAATACTCACCTGTGAACTACTCCTGCTTAGAAGGGTGATGGGGACCATGATGGTAGGGGAGTCAAACCCAGCCTCCATGGGGCTTTCGAAGCCAGCTTCTCCCTCCCTCCCCTCCAGCTCCACCCCAGTGTGGTGCAACCCTGTCCTCATGGGTCACCAGACTGGTGAAACCTGAACGGTTGGAGGCCAAAGGAAGCACTTGATGACAAGAGGGTGGGGTGCAGCAAGTGGAGTGGGGACTTCAGACAGGAACCTGACGGGGGGGTGGGGGATAGACAGAGGCACTGGGGTGGCTTATTTTCAAATAGAGACAGTTTTTTTGAGCAGCTTCACTGTGTTTATCACAGTGAAATCCTATGAGGCTGCTGTGAACGGGGCCCTGTATGCATTGTTATGCTATTTGGTTTTGATAAAAAGTGGCATTGTACAAGATGTTCCTTGGCCACGTAAAAGCTCGCTGCACAGCTAATGGTGGCACAGGGCCAATACCACAAGTTGAGCAATGTCGTGGTGGGGATTAAAGCTGGTATTTTAATGTGAACTTTAAGAGAAGCACTGAAAGAGCAAGAAATAAGAAGAGACAGAGGACAGGGAGAGAAACTGAGAGCTGGGGGGAGCAGGAAGAAAGGAACAAAGAAAGAAATAGAAGAACAAAGGCAAAAGACTTACAGACATTGAAGGGGAAACACAGATTAATAAAATGGGAGCAAGCTCACCCATTCTGAATGGGCAGAAGGGGAAGCATTTCTTTGCCCTCTTTTTCCTGCCTGCCTTTTTTCCCACAGCTTTGCTCATCTGTGTGTTCACACATTTCTCCTTCTTTCCACTCCAGATTAAGAGCCAAACTGTCTGAGTACTTTCCCCCATGTTGCAGGTTGCCAGAGTAGTTTAATAGAAGCCTATAACTTAGGTCCAAACCACAGACTTTTCCCAGTCTGTGCCTGGACCCAGGGGCACGTGTTTGTGTTGTCAGTGGTCTCCGAGGGTTGTGAGCAGGGACGAAGACCACTCTCTTCTCGTTCTTTCTTATTTTTTTTCGCTTTTGGAAGAAAGTTCTAGAATGTACCTAAGGATGATGGAGAAGAAATGTGGTCTAAAGGAGAGGTGTAGGTTTGGAATCAGAGAGTTCCGGCTATATAGTGGGTTTTCGAAGGTCAACAGAAAAGCATCTAGATGTTTAGGTATCTGGTCATTCTTGTTTTCCTCACTGACAATTCATCTCATCCCGTCAGAAAACTGTGGGTCATCATCACAAGACCAGCTCATTTCTTCATCTTCTACCCGAGCCATCAGATTGTAGATATTATAAAATCTGGCTCAATTTCTGAGAAAAAAAAACCCAGAGAAGATCTTGGCATTCAAAACAATGCCTTCTCCCGTGTGCTTCTGCCTAGTGCCTATTGTAGAAAGAAACTGAGACAATCATGACTGAGTCCCTGGACTGGCCTGAAGAACGATGGCCAGACCCTTAAGGACAAAGAACTATGACCTGCCAGCATGAATGACTAACAGGAGAGCTGGGACTTGATTGGCATCTATTCTGTTGCCACCAATAGTTGTGCAGCACTGATGCAGGTCAGTGTTTGCTTAAAGATTTCCCATCTAGGTCATTAGCTCTGACCCCAGCGACCTGGATGTACTTTCTAGGTTATACAGGGCCATCACAAATATGCAGGCCTTGGTGTGTGGTTTCCTCTGCCCACCCTCTCTTTGTTTTTTTTTTTTTTAAGTAGATTTTCAATTTTTGACACATAATAATTGAGTATATTTATGGGTGCAGGGTGACATTTCAATATACACATGCAATAGGTAATGACGGGAGCAGGGTAATTGGCAGATCCCTCATCTCAGACATTTGTCGCTTCTTTGTTAGGAACACTCTAACTCCTCTCTAGTGGCTGTTTGGAAATACAGTTGCTGTCAATCATAGTGGCCTATTGTGCCATTTAATATTAGTAGCTCCTCCTTCTGTCTGGCTCCCCTTTTCCCACCTCTCAGATAGGCACCTGCTCACCTTCTAGGACCTGTCCGGCCTCCATGCCCCCACTTCTCAGGGCAGCCTTTCTTGTCCCTGCCCTGCAAGAACCCAGTGCATCCTTTTTTTTTTTTTTGGTCCCTCAGTGTGGCCTGTACAAACCCCTGACCTGGCCTCTGTGTCTCCTCTCTTTTACCCAGAAGCCTTTGAGCCTGATGATAGTATCATCCATATTGTCCCTGTCTAGACTGCTTACAGCAGATCAGAAATTGCAAGCAAATCAATGAATGAAAGAATGGCAGGAATGAAGAAATTTTCAGAAGGTGACTTAGATTTTAAGAATCAAGAGACTCATTTTAGCAAGCTGTGCTCTTTGGGCTTTGTCACCATTGCAAAACAATTTAAACTGTTTTCTAATGAATAACAAGCCCCTCACCAGACACCTCACCTCGGCACACACATAGGTAAGAAAAACATGAGCTATTAACATTACATTATAACTCTTTACACACAAAGAAGGTGAAAAGGGAGAGAACAGCTTACTGGGTCAAAACTGATATTAAGTACCTTTGGAGCCGGGCATTGGTGGTGCACGCCTTTAATCCCAGCACTAGGGAGGCAGAGGCAGGCGGATCTCTGTGAGTTCGAGACCAGCCTGGTCTACAGAGCTAGTTCCAGGACAGGCTACAAAAAAAAAAGTACCTTTGGATATTTCATGTGTTCTTCACAAACAGCCAGTGCCCATGTATGCGCATGATTGTCCCACTGTACAGCTGGGGAAACTCCCACTACCCACGGTAGTAACGACAGCTAAGCCAGAGCACATCTACTTTAGTCTATGGGCTGTAGGAGTCTAGGGATGGGCTTCTGAAAAGTTCTAGCACTGAGGAGAATGCTCAGTGGACTAAGCCCCTGCAGAGCAATGGTGAGAGCCTGGGTTTGAGTCCCAGAACCCACTTAAAGCCATGTACCACACCAGGAATCTCTAGTTCCAGTACATTTGTGGCAAGCTGGGAGACAGAGGATGGAGAACTTCAGAAGCTCATGGGCCAGCTAGCCTGCCATATACAGCTGCAAGAGACACTGCCTCAAACAAGGTGGAGACAGGCCTGACATGTAAGACGGTCCTCACATGTGTGGTGGCATGCATGTGCCCACACTCACACACTGAGACCTGGAGACCCAGGAACACACACACACTCATGGTGAGGGAGGAGGGGGAGGGCGGAACATACACGTATAGATTCAAATTTTTCAAAACGCTTTCTAGATTCCCAAGTTTCTTTCTTTCCGTTCTCTGACAAGGAAACTAGAGCAGAGACCCGAGCTCCTAGGCCAGATCAACATCAGACCTCAAGAGCAGCCTTGAGAGAAGTCTGGAGGTGATGGTTCATAGACAGTGAACAAGATCCAAACCCGCGGTCCTTCTCTTTCTTAGTGAAATTTCCAAGCTTCCAGTGGCTTAAGTGGCCAGACTTTAGATTTCCAAGCTTTGAGTGGCTAATATGGTCAGAGTTTGAGACAGGAACAACTTCAGAAATTCCTCAAACCACAGAAGCCGTACAACTTTGGATGGAGGCTGGGAATGAGGATAGGAGACTAGCTAATGTGTTTTTAAATTTTAAGTAAATACTTACGTTCTCACAGCAAGACAGTACTCCAAACTACCATCTTACTCACCACTCTGCTCTGCTCTATGACAACCAGAAGGCAGTGATTTTAGCCTAATGAACTGAAGACATCATCTTCGCTGAGTGCTCCCTGGGGTGCTCTTGCTTAGGAATTCATAAGGGATTTTTCAGGGTTCTCATTCAGCATTTTGAAGATTCTTGTGGGTTTCCAGAAGCAGGTAATTGAGTGAGCTGATGATGACTAGGGCAATGTGCAGAAAGGGCTTATTCCCTACCAACTGCTTTCCTAGTACTGGCATTATTTAATCAAATGGTGATAAAAGTCTGGAGAATTGATTATTTTAAATTCACTTTTATTAAAATATAATTTACATTTGAACAAATATTTACAGTCATTTAACCACATCACAACCAAAATAAAGACTGATTCCATCACCCCAAAGCTTCCTTCTACCCCTCAACTGTCCCTGTCACTCTCAGACCAACTTGGTTTTCATGGTTTTGTTGTTGTTGAGGTAGAGTCTCTTGTAGCCCAAACTTGCCTTGAGATTTCTATGCATCTGAGGATGACGATGGCTTCTGGTCCTCCTTATGCCTACCTCCTAGGTGCGAGGATCACAGGTGTGTACCACTGAGCTCAGTTTTATGCCGGGCTGGGGGCAGAAGCCAGGGCTTTGTGCTGCTCGGTAAGCACTCTGCCAACTGGGTGGTATTCTCTGACCAGTATGGACTTTTGCCCTGGCTTCTTTCACTCAGCACAATGCCTTCTAGAGTCACTGTTGCTGTGAATAACTTACTTTCATCATCACATACAACATACGGCAGAACAAAAATCTGTCGTGTATAAGAGACTTGATCTGACTTGTAAGTCACAGAAGCAGAACTCCAGTCTGGCCAGGCTGATCCTAGTGCCCGTGCACCACTCCAACGCCTCCCTCTTCTGCACTGGCCCTCAGGACTCCTGACTTGGGTTTAACTCACCCATGAGCCCACACAGTGAGTGGTCCTCCCATCCCACAGTCATAATGCAAATGTCACAGATGGAATCCCAAGACGTTATATACAGAACTTGTCACGCCCTCCTTCTTCTCCATTCTCCTCCTCATCTCCTCTCCCTCCTTCTCCTCCTCCTCATCCCTTCTCTTCTTCCTTTGTCTTTCAGGTTTGACCCAGAAAAGATTTCAGCACAACACTACAGGAGAAAAATCTGGACAAGAAAAAGTTTTATCTGATTCCTAAAAAGGAGTCTGCCAACCCCAGGCCGCCAAATTTCTGTGTCCTCAACTGTGGCTGTCACACAATAGGGACCAAACAATGACTGAGTAGAGACTATACAGTCACTTGATGCCCAGGTTACCTTGAACAAGTATCTAATCCCCTAAAGACGTAGACTGTCCATAACCACCAGGGTGGCGTTGAGAACTACAGGAAACAGCACAGTTGGTGCGTGGTGGGGAAAGTGCCATCCTCACTCCACAGTGGCGGGCCTTCTTGTGTCTTTCTGTCACAACCATCTCCAGAACTGAACTCCGGTCTGATTCAGATGTCATCCTGTTCTGGAATGTGGAAGAACTAGGAGAATCCAGGCTTCAATGATGAACTCAACAAACATTTATTGACCATTGACTTAGATGCTGCCCCCTCCCCACCCTTGGGTGAGGCTGGTTCCTTTCACATGACAGATGTATTGTAGCATCTTTAATTTAACATTATAACATCGAACATTTAATTTAACATTGTAACGTTGTTACATCTTTAATGACTCTACTCACAAAAGCCTGTAGTTTATTTTACTAAGTATCTTCCAGCAGCTAGGCTGGTGATAGCCAGTAAATACAGAGCTGAGATATTACTACGCTTGTGTTACTTTGTTTAACCTTCACAGCGCACCTCAGAGATTGCAGAAACCCTCTTTCCAGGTGAGGGAAGTGAACACAGTATACCGAATGATCTTGCACGGCATGCTGCAACTGGGATTCACAGGCAGAAAGTTTTCAGCCTGAAACAACATTTGTTACTTTTATTCCTTTTGAGACAGAGTCTCACCTTGAACCCCAGGCTGGCCTCTAACTCACAAAGATCAGCCTGCCTGGGCCTCCTGCGTGCTGGGGGTAAAGGTGTGTGCCATCATGCCTGGCTCCAGTGCATTTTTTTTTAATTGAAAAACAGTGTTTTCAGGAAGTATTTGGATCTGGTGGGACCTGAGGAAGGTGAAACAGTGGCTATTCTAAGAGATGGAGACTGGGCAAGGAGCAGAGGAAGCCAGCAGGCCTTAAATGAAAAAAAGGACAGGAGAAACTCACACTTCCCTGAAGCTGATAACTAGAATCATGGAAACCCTGGCCCATAGTGTGTGAAAAGGAGAACCAGTGGGGATTCCTTCCTGTAGAGGAAGTTTCGACTTTTAAAAAGAAAGATGAGGATCAACAACTGTCCTCCTGGTGACCCCATTTTACTTAGCAAACATAAATCTGTCCCTGGTGTTTATTCATTATTTTTAGAATATGTTTTGTTTACTATCTCAAACATGTAGATACACTCTATTTTTGATCATATCTATCTCAGATCTCCCCTCTCACTTTCCCAAGTTTCCTCACTATTTCCCCCTCTAACCTTATTAGTTTACTTCTTAAGTCAGAGTTCCCCAAAGTTTCTCAAGCATCCTTTGTACCACAATGAACTTCACACAGTGACCTAAGTCAACAGGAACATTTCATGGTCATGTTATTAGAGACGTTCAAGTCAATAAACATATATAACCATCTTGGGGGTTGCCATTAAAGCAAACTCATTCACACACTCGTTCTTCAATGGCTAAGATCCCTCATGTGTCTTCTAGGCATGCACACAACTTCTCCACCCCTGCCATCAGGTTGAGATCTTCATTCCATGGTGTCTTTTGCAACTCTGGGAGTATTGTATGGTCCGGGCTCTTCCTCCGGAGAGGAAACACGGAGGCAGGAGGTTGCACGTCTGGGTTTCAGTGCCTGACATTTTCCTCTTGTTGCCATATGGCTGATTGTTTTACTGTCAAATATTAAGAGCACACAGTAATAGGAAGGGAGTAGGAGAAGTAGCCCTGTGACCTGGTTAACAAGACAGCAAAGCTGTTTCGCATGCTGCACCTCACCCTGGGCACAAGCCTGGTGATCTCTCGGAAGCCAACAATGCGTCATTTGCTCACCACTGACTGCATGGACAAAGTCAACATTTAGCTGTGTGCACAGAACTCCAAGTCATGGTTCAGAGGATGGAAGGCAGTGTGTAGATACTGACTAAACAATCTACCCTAGAGTCACATGTCCTCGCACAAAAGACCAATACAACAAGAATTAATTCCTGCTCTCAATAGCCTCAACTCTAGCTCAGAGACCAATATGACCTATTTTGGAAAACAATCACAGTGCAACAAAGGAGGAAAAGGGTTATTTCATTTTCTTGGGACGACCAGAGAAAGTCCTAGGAACAGACTGACCTTACTCTAAAAGAAAAGCAAGTCCAGAGACATGAAGGAAAAACATGTTGTCAGATTGCTCCAATCTGATATCTGCATGTGTCATAGAGGGCAGGTTGGAGGTAGGGATGATAAGAAATGATACAAGGGTCCTAGGGACAGACTCACCTGCTCTACCGGCTCTGTGGACACAGCCTTGGAAGGACAGTGAATAGCCACCACTTGCTTTGTTCACTCTGAAGCTTTGCATCATTTCCTTTGGGAAATGCTTTTCCATATTCTACAAGGCTGCCAGTTACATGGTAGCGAAAGTTGCCTGCAAGTTGACCCCTGACCCAAGAAGGGCCAATCTGAATCTTTTATGGAGCGGATATGGGTGCTGGACATGAGGCTCTGTTCCGATAAACGAAGGGAGCTACTGAGAGTTATGTTTCTACTTCTTCAGAGAAAAGAGCTTGAAAATGGAAAGAGGAACAGTTTGGGGGGCGTGGTACTTGCTAGAGCATCCACCTCGTGTGCAGGGGTCTTGGATCCAGTCCCCAGTACCGCCCTGAGTAGTGCACATACAGAGTCCCAGCACTCACAAGGTGGAGCAGAAAGACGGAAGCTCATGGCCGTCCTTGCTGGTTATCCACAACAAATGTAAAGTCAGTCTGAGCTGCAGGAAACATTGTCTCATAATAAATAAATAAGAGGGCGAGGGGAGAAAGGCGAGAGGGACTGGCGAGACAACTCTAATCCCTGAATTCAGTTCACTCAGACCGTCTCTACTCCACGAGTTGTTTACGCTATCTACATTTCTGTCTCTAGGGCAGCTCATTTGCGTTACATGACTGTCACTTGCAGGGCCCTTGGACACAGGAAAGCCCACCTGAAATTTTCACAGTGCTCTGGCCTGAACCTGTTCAATTATGCCTCCCTTAGCTGCTGGAAGAGGAGAGACATGTTTTCCACGGTCCCCTCATCCATGTGCTGTCTGGGAGAACCTCTGGTTCTCACCCAGCTGGCTGGCTGGCATCCACTTCCTGTCCTGTGAATGTGGGCTGTCTTCCCAGGCTGTTATCTGACTCCACTATCAGCCAGCAGGCTTCTTGGAAAGAAGTGTTCTACAAGAGTGAATGGATATGGCCAAAGCTAAGGGTAACTCCGGCAGCCATGAACACAGTGGGGCTCTGGATGTCGCTCATGCCTTGTGGTGTTCAGGAGTCAGCCATGAGCTGCCACAAACAAGACAACCGGCACCTCTAACAAGTCCTCGGAGACTCTAGGGGTGACGTTGCTTCAGATAGATTTCATTTAAGGGCTTTGTACACCTCCATCCTAGCCACACACTAGCTGTGTGAGCCTAGGGAAACGATCTCACCTCCAGGCTTATATTTCTTCACTGCTAAGCAGGTCAATTACAATCATGTATTTATGGCTTGCTGTGGAGCAGATGTGTTAAGCTCTGTGTGAGGGGTGCCTTTCTCTCAGGGGAAGTAACTGCTATGAGCATGTTCAGCACAGCGCTGACAGGCTGTGACATCTCAGTCGGAGTTACTCATTGTCGTTGTTACCTGTGTTACTACAGAGACCTCCAGCTTCATTCTAGTCTTTGAATGGATGAGGAACCTGATACTCAGAAGCAGTGAAAGACTTAGTTAAAGCTACCTAGCACAATCCTTGGCCAGGACAAAGCTAGCAGCCAGACCTTCCCCAAACCTAGGTACGCGTACAGGATTACAGAGTGCCTAGAAATTATTTGACCAAGGACACTAAAATTCTAATTTAAAGAAGCATGACCATGACCTAAGGGGAAATACTCTGTGCATTTGAGTGAGTGACATCATGTCATGAACGCTTGCTGTGATTTCCATGTTTTTCCATAAACTACAAGAGGCTAAATTGGACTCTAGCACGGCTCTTTGAAGCTGTGATAAGCGTATTTTAAGATGTGCGTGGAGGAGAGCGAAATGAACAGCTAAGTCAATTGCAGAGAGTGAGAGGAGAGAATTCTCACTTGGGGAGAATTATTACAAGGCAATAGTAATAAAAAGCAGATTGATATTAGATACCAATATCACGGTGGGTATTTGAATCTCAAAATAACTAGAGAGGCAAGAGTCAGGCTCCTAAACCCTGATTCAGAGAGGGTATTTTGGAGTCTAATACATGGCAGAAGAAACCATCACAGCTTCATGATGAAAATCCAGCTGTTTAGCAGACTGATTACAGGAGACCACGTCATATTTGAAGATAAATAAACAAATAAACAGAAACCATAGCAAAGAGATTGCTGAGTGTATAAAATTGTTCGCCAGACAGAGACAGAAAGAGATTTATTTATACATAGCATAAACACCATTGTCTTGCTACCCAACCTTATGTCAAAGAAAAGCAATTTTTTTTTTGTTGGAAAAAAGAATCTTATAGATTATCAATGGGGAAAAAACAAAAACTTTAAAAGTTAACAGAGTAGTGATGCCCTGTATCATTCGTTGCAGACAAACAAAAATTAAAGCAACAAGATCAAATACCCATCAAATTAATCAAGCTCTTTTGATTTGATTTTTTTTTTTTTTACTACAGTGGCCAAAATTGACAAACAAAGGGACTTGAGAGTCAACTTTTCACTACAATGCTGTTGTCAGGACAACACAAACGATACCACAAATCATCAATTACTCTCTCTGACCGCTCCCTACCCACTAAGACTATAAAACGAGGAAGGAAGATGTGTCAACTTCGGCTAACAAATGTATAAAAAGGGCTTACTGTCCACCAAGTTTCCATCGGTAGTAATGGTCTATCCTGACTGAAATTCTAATTAAAAGTCTGAAAATGATCTAAGTAGAAACAGTCCATGTTTTTGAGCTGACAAATTCATATTACAATGGTAATAATTACTCCTATGTTTATCTATAAATTAAAAGTGATCAGATCATCAAGACCACATTCCCACAGCATTGCTAGGTGGCAAGCATGCACTATTCTGGGCACATAAACTCTACAAATGATCCCAAGAAACATACTCTGTAGACAACTCCAAAGGAGTTATTATTATCAACATCATTATTAGGATTTACTATTTTCATTTGCAGAAGAAGGAACCTAGGCATTGAGAACTGGAGTGGATATCCACATGAATAGTATGGATAGACTTGGGGTCAAGAGGAATCATTCTGAGTTCGGGGAAATACGTAGGTTAAAGCCCAGCCAGGGCTCCCGAGGGACTGAAGCATTATGCTAAGGATAATTAGTTTGACGTTTCACCCATGCACAGGATGACCTGGTCAACATGGGTCACGTGGCACTCTCTAGAGTCCAGTCTTCTAGTCATGTTGCTGTGCTGCCTTTTAGAGAGAGAGAGAGAGAGAGAGAGAGAGAGAGAGAGAGAGAGAGAGAGAAAGAGAGAGAGAGATCTTAGCGTCTGGGCCTCCAATCGCACGGGCCAGTGTTCTTTCCATCCCAGGAGGTATGGAAAAAACTAGATCTTACAAGCTCCCAGGGGAAAAATAACAGCAGAAATTGGCCCACAGGGAATCGAGGAAACACGAACTGAGGAATGTGATCTGGTTTCAGAGCCGAAGCGGTTGAACTGGGCCCTCAGGGACTTGGGCTGGCGCTGTCATTAGCTGAAGGATAGGCTGGCTCCACTGAGGTTTTGGCTTGGCGTCAAAGAAAGGGATAAAGAACCAGGAGATGTGCACTCTCTCCCGATCTGGGACTAAACTGGCCTGTTCCTCTCATTCCGCACTCTACCCTTGGGAAATGCAAATGTGCCCCTCCCTCTGCAATCCAGCCGTGCAAGGAGTTAGTCATTATGTAGGAACAACTATATTAAGCTGGTGGCTACCCGGTGACAGCATTCCCTCAGTGCCCCAGATCTATGATCTCACTTGTTCCTCACAGAACCATATGAGGCAGGCAATCTTTTTCATTATTGTGGTTATTACTCCATTAATTTTTCAGGCAAGGCAGCCAAGGCTAACAGGTATACAGTTGCTTTCTGAGAGTTTCATGATTCAGAATAAATATAGGTCTCTCTGCCTTAAGATCATGTCTTACCATTTATCTCGGTTTCTCCATCCATTCTTCCTTCTCAGACAGAACAAGGCCTTGTAGAGAAAGGGGAGGTCAATATTCTTTACTCTGACCCATCCACGAAAGAGGAGTTGTGGTGGTTCCTAAAGACATCAAAGACCAGCTTCATTTCTCAGCCGTCCTCGGGGAAATCAACTTAATTTGAAACTTCAAAGGAAATGTGTTGATTGGAGTGAAATTATATCAAGTGAACTTTCAAATAACTTTAAATAAAGAGTTGAAGCTGAATAAGACGGCGGTTATGAGACTCTTTTCCCAGGAGAGGAGAAAAGAAGATGCTTGCACGGAGGGAAACTGAGTCACTATAACTGGCATAGCATCAATGGCCTGTGCAGGTGGGAAAAGCTCTCTTCCCCCCCCACAACCTCCGTGGCTACTTATTGTCTCTGGCATCCCAAAGTCTCGTGGGCATGTTCATCAAATTATTGAAATTAAGAACAATCCTTGTTGGCAAGCGAGTGATCTCAACTCCAATCTGACCCCCGCCCCACGCTTAATCCTTATTAGCTTGCTTTTGCTTTTGAAGACAGATAAAATTAAAAGTCTAGGCGTTGGTGGTTAAGGCTCCTAAGGCAGTGGTAGTCCCCAGACTCACCCACGCCAGTTCAGAAGGTGCCCACATCCACTCGCCAAGATGTAACAGAGCTCAGATTCACCAAACAGCCGTTACTCCCGTGTGAGATGTCACTGAAAGACCATCAGCGGGCAACTCCTCACTTACCCCTTCTCTTTTGAACTCAAACCCAAATCTTTGGAGCTGACTAACGTGAGACCTTTGGTGGATCCCGAATGGACTCCCTCCACTCACCTGAGTGATGCAATCTCTTTGGAATTTTACAACCTTATCTTCTTTCAATGAAAAAGGCTAAAGTGAGAATTCTTTTTAAGAATAATAAAAAAAAAAATCAGAGACTAGAATTCTCTAGTTCTTTGGGAAGATTATCTTCCTAATAGCAGTTTCTGGCACGGTTCCTCAGGCAACTTAGCTAAACTGAATAAATAGCTCACTGGTGTGGTAATGTGGGGTAGAGGCCTGGTGGGGAGAAAAGTTATTAGGCGGCTGCCAAAACACACCACAGTGCATAAAGGTGGTTCTGACCCGCAGCCTCCCAGGCAGGACAGAATTATCATTCCTTTTCATGCAGCTTAACTTTCACAGCGCTGTTCAATACTCAGCTTGGCAAATTTCCAAACAGACACAAGAACAGAGCTTGCTTTCAATGTATTGGAATTCCCAGGAGGAGGAGTTGAGAAGGGGTTAGGAATACTCCAGAAAAAATACAGGGCCACTAAGGTGCTCGTGCTCTGCCGAGACCAAATTTCTTCTTTCTTGATGACCTACTTCATGCCTTCTTTTTGAAGAAGAGACCTTTGCGATATGCACTTGATTCTATTTTGAGGGTCGGTTGGTTAGGCCCTTACTGATGGTCGGAGTTTTCCTTGAGGCACAAGCTTTCAAGCTCCATGAGTGTGTTGGGGGTGTGTACATGCTCATGTGTGTACACATAGGGATGTGCAAATTTGTGTGTGTGGGTGTGTGTGAGTCTGATGTAGACGCCAAGGTCAGTGTTGAGTATTTTCTCCTATTGCTGTTCACCTCATTTTCTGAGATTCAGCCTTTCACTGAACCTGGAGCTTAGAGATTCATCTAGACTGGCTGGCTAATGATCCCCAAGGATCTTCCTGTCTCTGCCTCCCCAGCCCATCCAGTTGCATTCAGCTTTTTATATGGCAGTGGGGTCCAAATTCAAGTCCTCACGCATGCCTACACCTCACGCATGCGTACACTGCAAGCAATTTTCTAATGGAGCCATCTCCCCAGGCTCATGTTTCCTATTAGCTTCTTCTCCGTCCGAACACTCACGAGAAGCTTTCTGGGCAAGATGGCTTTACAAACCGTGCCTTGGATCCTAAGACCATAATAAGACAATATTTTAGATTCTGTTGTGATTTCTTATTTCTAATTCTCCAAGTAATAATCATCCATTGTGTGGAGAGACTTGATCAGAAGTGGTAGCAATGGCAACAACTTCTATTTATTGTATCTTTCCTAAGTGTCTGACTTTGTTCCCACCACTTTGTGCCTATTGTTTCATGTACTCACTCCAGCAGCCTTGGGAGGGGAGTGCTGACACTCTCCAATTTACTAATGACGAAACTCAAACACGGAAAGTGTGTGGGGGGGGACAGAGAGAGACAGAGGGAGGGAGAGAAAAAGAAATTGTGTGTGAGAGGAAGGAGGGAGAGAGAGAGTCTCTCTCTCTGGGTTTAATCATGGCTGCTTCCACGAGCCTGGGTGGAGGGTATTCACTGGCCATTCTCTTCTTGATGTAGCCACCATGGAGTTGCTCATGCTAGTAGATCAGCAGTTTCCTTCTTGTGTTTAAGGAATGTTTGCATACCCAAAAGTCATGAAGACACTGTTCTGCTTTCTTAAAAGTAAAACGTAGCTTTACCTTTCTCATACTTAAAATCTTCAATAAAATCTGCTTAAATTAGTTAGTTGACAACTCAAGTTATTTGTAAGGGGCAGCCGGACACATACATGGCCTATTCAAATATATATGGATATATTACAACGGAGATAATTGAAGCTTCCAAACATGTATTTCTCTTTAGTCTTTGTGACCAGAACACTGAGACACCTACTCTTCTTCTCAAGCTTTCTTTATATAATGTACATAGGATGAACTGCTATTAGCTGTAGTCACCATGGGGTACAGCAGATCTCTGGTCTAACTAAATTCCATATTTGCTCTGCCTAACATTTCCTATTCATCTCCGCTCTCTGGTGATCATTTTTTTTTATCACCTTTTTATATAGGTTTGATGTTTTTAAATTTAGATTTCACATATAAGCAACATCATGTGGTGTTTGTCTCTCTGTGCCAGCTTGATCTACCTAACGCAATGGCCTAGAAGTTCAGGCACGCTGCGCCAGTCACGGGACTTCCTTTCTCTGAAAGGCTGGCCAGCGCTCCATGTAACACAGTAACATGTAACATGTTCACATGTAACACAGACTCCACCTCTCTGCCCACTGATGAACACACATGGATTGACCTCAGCTGCTGGCTTTTGTGCATTCTGTTACACTGAGTATGGGAAGAGAGATGTCTCTCTGATGCATCAGTCTCCTGTTCTCCAGATGTATGGTCAGATGTGGAACTGCTGAGCCACGCTTCTGTTTTTAATCTCTTCAGACAGCGTCCACACTTTTCCATAACTACTTTGCTAGTTCCTATTCCCAACCAATTGTGCACAAGGATCGCCTTTTCCACCAGTTCATAGACATGTGTTCTCTTTCTTCTTTTTGATCATAGTCACCCAAAACAAGTATGAGATGGTATCTTATAGTTACAATGTGCATTTCCTTGAGGTTAGTAGTGTTGAACATCGTTTGATACACCTGTTCACTCCTTACAGATCTTCTTTTGAGAAGTGTTTCATCATTTTTTTGCTCACTTTTAATTGAATTATTTGTTTTCTTCCTTTGAGCTGTTTGATATAGACATATATATCAGATATTAACTGCTTTTTAGATGCTTAAGTTCTACCTATTTCCTCTATTTTATCTTTGCTGTGCTGATTGTCGTTTTTGCTATGCAGAGGTCTTTAATAATCCCACTTGTCTGTTTTTGCTATTCCTGCATGTAATTTAGGGATCACATCCAAAACATCAAAGCCAGGCTAATCTCATGGAGGTTTTTTCCCAGTATGTTTACAGTTTGAGAACTTGTGCTTAAATACTTATTTTGAGTTGATTAACTTACCTTAAATACTTATTTGATTTTTGTATATATTATGAAGTGAAGGTTCATTTCATTCTTCTGAATGTGACATTGAGTTTTTCAGTATCATTTATTGAAGAAAACTCTCCTATTTTCAGTGTGGTTTTGGTATTATTGTCAAAACTGAACTCATTATAAATGTGTGGGTTTATGTCTGTGTTCTGTGTATCATTAGAAAATCATATTTTATAGCTATAGCTCTGTGTTATATTTTATACTCAGGTGCTATGATGTTTCAACTATTCTTTTTCCTAAAGATTGCTTTTTTCTGTTTTTAATAACAGCATTTATTCTTTAGATTGTCAGATTATATACATTATCTCATATCTTAGTTTCTTTTCCCCTGTGTTTGTTAAGATGCCCATATAAAAGCAATTTGAGAGGAGTTGATTCTGGCTCAGAATTTGAGGTATAGTCCACCATGATTGTTTTGATTTTAGAGAGCATTTCGTGGATCCACATGAATTGTAGGTTGTTTTTTTATACTTATATGAAAGATATGGTTGGGCTTTAAACAGAAATTCCATTGAACCTTTAGCTCCTTTGGGGAAAAAAAACACATTACTTTTTAATGTTTTTTTTTTTGCATACTAATCCCAGTTCCCCCTTCCCTGCACTTTCCCCTCACCCCACTCACAATCTGCTCCTCAGAGAGGGTGAGGCCTCTCATGAGGAGTCAACAAATTCTGTCACATCACCACATTGAGGCAGGACCAAGGCCCTCCTCATTGTGACTAGGCTGAGCAAGGTTTCTCTTCATAGGAAATGGGTTCCAAAAATCCAGATCATTGATTAATGATTGCTCCTGCTCCCACTGCCAGTGGCCCCACAAACTGCCCAAGCCACCCACTGTCACTTGCCTTAAGGGGGTGCTGTATTGGTCCTATGCAGGTTTCCTAGCTGTCTGTCCAGAGTCAGTGAGCTCCCACTAGTTCGAGTCAGCTTTTTCTGCGGGTGTCCTCCATCCTGGTCTTGACTCCTTTGCTCACGTTACTGCTCCTCCGTCTCTTCAACAGGACTCTGGGAGCACTGGCTCTGCATCTCTGCATCTGCTTCCATCAGTCATTATGAAGGTGTTAGGAGGTCATGTCTATTTCCCCTTCCTGGGCAGATCATGTTTGTCTTCTTATGGGCTGGAGAGATGGCTCAGCTGTTAACGGCTAGGCTTACAACCAAAAAAAAATATATATATAAGAGAGACATATTAATTTCTTAAATCCATTAGCACAGATTTTCCCATTTATTGTGTTTTTAATTTCTGTTACAAATTTATAATATTGATCTCTAGATGTTTTGTTTCGTTGGTTAAATACTTCCTAAATTTTTGTTATAGCAATTGTAAAGCAAAGGATAACCTAGCTATAATCTACAATCCCAGAGAAGCTAAGTAAAAAAAAAAAGGGGGGGGGGACCCTAAGAGGGACACAAATGGAGGGCCCCAGAAAGAAAAATAGTCAACATCTCCTGGGTAAACTGGGAGGGGTAGAAGGGAGAGGAACACAAGGGATCAAGAGGACACAGTTGGGAAGGGGGAAGGACAGAAGGGGAGAACATGAAAGAGTTTTCTTGATAGAGAGAACCATGATGGGGTTAGGGAGAAACCTGGTGTTAGAGAAGTTCTCAGGAATCCACAAGGATGACCTCAGCTAAGGCTCCCAGCAATAGTGGAGAGGGCATCTGATTAACTTGTTAATCAGATTAGTGACTACCCTAATTGTCATCATTGAACCTACATCAAGCAACTGATGGAAGCAGATGCAGTGACCCACAGCCACGCCCTGGGCTGAGACACTGGAGTTCAGTTGAAGAGAGGTAGGAGATTTCATATGAACAAGTGTGGGGGGGTGTCAAGAGCAAGAGAGGGAAACCACAGAGACTGCTGGCCCAAGCTAGTGGGAGCTCACAGACTATGGGCTGACAGCTGGAAAAACCTGCATGGAACCCAACTAGACCCTCTGAAAGTGGGTGACAGTTATGTAGCTTGAACTGTTAGGGGGCTCCTGGCAGTCATACCAGGACTTATCCCAGGTGCATTCATGAACTAGTCTCTTGGAGCTACTGGCTCAGCCTTGATGCAGGGCAAAGGGAGTGGAGAGGGGCTTGGTCCTGTCTCAAGTTGGTATGCCAGACCTTGTTGACTCCCCAAAGAAGGTCTTACTCCC